ACAAAAAAAAAAAAAAAAAAAAAGAATCACTTTGAACTGTTCACTTCATACCTGTAATTCTAGCTGCTTGGCAGGCTAAGAATGGGATGGTCTTTGGCCAGACTGGACATACGCACAGCAGACCCATAATGGCATATACCTGTCATCCTCACAACATGAGAAATAAGATTCTGGCTCCAGGCCAGCACAGGCAGAGAAGTGTATGAGACTTCCATCTCAACAGAAAAGGCTAAACATGGTGGTGCAGGCCTGCCATTGTGGCTGCAATAGAAAGCAGAATATAGAAAGATCACAGGCCATGCACTTGGGCAGGAAGTAAGATTTTTCCATCTCAAAAATAAGCCAATACAGGCTGGGCATTGGTGGCTCATGCCTATAATCATAGCTATTCAGGAGGCTGAGATCTGAGGATTGTGATTTGAAGCCAGCTTGGGCAAGAAAGTCCATGATTCTCTTATCTCCAATTAACCACCAGAAAACTGGAAGTAGCTCAAAGTTACAGTACTAGTCTTGAGCAAAATAGTTCAGTTACAGTGCCCAGGCCCTGAGTTCAAGTCCCACATCCAACAAAAATAAGTAAAAATAAATAAACATAAACAATGCCAAAAAAGTACTGGAGTTGTGGCTCATCAGTAGAGTCTTGCCTAGCAAGTATAAGGTCCTAAATTCAAACCTCATTGCAGCCTTTCTCCTTGCCAAAAATATAAATTATTCTTCCCATATGATTATCCATGATCTAAGGAAGCCTTTAGGGATGGGGCCACTTTATCTGTTTAAAAAGTGGAAGAAGACAAAAATAACATTACAGAGCAAATTTTATTTGGAGTAGAACCGGATAGAGTCCTTCTTGGTTCACACTGAGATTTTTTTTTCTTACAAATCACTTTACCATGGTTTAGAGGCAAACCTAGGATTGAGGAGTTTCTCATAACTTGTATGTAAGGGGGATACGAGAGCAGGGAACGGGAAAGTGGGTAGGGAGGAGAGAGGGAAACAGGACTTGGATTTTTTGTTTTGTTTTGTTTTTGTCAATTGTGGGGCTTGAACTTAGGGCTGGACGTTATCCCTGAGCTCTTTTTGCTCAGTGCTAGAGCTCTACCACTTTGAGTCACTTGCAGTTTTTTGGTGGTTAATTGGAGGTAAGAGTCTTATGGACTTTCCTGCCTTGCTGGCTTTGAACTACGATCCTCAGATCTCAGCCTCCTAAGTAGCTAGAAGTACAGGTGTGAGCCACTGGAGCCTGCTAGAAACGAGACTCTGAGTATGTAACACAAGGATTTCCTTTTCTGTTCCAATATCCATGTCTAACTGTCACCTATCAATCAGTAAGAGAATCTATAGAATGGGATGACACTTGAAATCAGAGTACAGGCCCTGTAGGACCAAGAGAATGAAAATACTTTCAAAAATAATGTTTAAGTGGGTCTAAGGGTTGTAGGGGGGATGATGTGACTTGGAGTCAGTGGCATTAGGGAGACAGGTAGGATATTGCTGGTAGGAATTCAGGCCCAGCAGCTAGATGGAGTGAATTAGAATGCACAAGATATGGTGACTTGGAAACTGAGAGGAATTGAGTGTGGCAATTTAGGGTATTTGCTTTGGTTGCATTGTTTGCATTATATTATAGAAGAAAGTTAATTTTTGTGCACTTAGCATTTTCCTGTTTACCCTCTATTTCAGGTAGATCTTTTGCGAACAGGAGAGGTTCCCAAACCTTTTCCAACACATTATAAAGATTTGTGGGATAACAAGCATGTTAAAATGCCTTGTTCTGAGCAAAACTTGTACCCTGTGGAAGATGAGGTAAGACAAATTCCTGAAACATGGTTTAGTACATGATTGTTTGGCTTTTTATTCTATCATACAAACTCAGAATAGTTTAACTGTGCTTTTCTTTTTTTTTTCTAAGAATGGTGAGCGAACTGCAGGTAGCAGATGGGAGCTCATTCAGACTGCACTTCTCAACAAATTCACTCGACCCCAAAACCTAAAGGTGTGTTCTTTTATCAGTCTTGTCTCTCATAGATAGCTTTTAGGGATGGGTCTTCTATTTCTTGCCTTAAGGAAGAGGCAAGACATGTTTTTAAAATTATTAAATAGAATAACAACATTCTTTGTATGCAGAGTGCTTGCTTCCTGGCTGAAGGAAGGGTCCTTAGAGACCTTCTTGGTTTCTACTCCATCATTGGGAACTGAGCAGAACAACTGAGAGTTGTAAATGACTTGCCTGGAGCCACACAGAATAATTTGGAGAACCAGGAATAAGACCTCTGTTTCTTGATTCCCTGTCCAATTTCCTTCAGTCTAAGCTTCTCTTTTATTTTTTATTTTAAAATTATCATGCTTCTGAAATGTATTTAAAAGGAAATCAGGAAAGAATTATGACTCCAGCAGTATTTGCCTCAAGGGAAGCTGAGCTTTCCTGATAATTAAAATATACATTAAGTTTGCTTTTATTTCTTTTAATGTAGCTTTAGCACTTTAATTATTAATCTTATAAGATTGGCAATAATTTACATTTTGATTTTTTATTTCATTTACTATTCTAAGGCAATCATTAGTAATACCTAAAATATGCATGAACATATTTATATTACAGGAAAACTGTAGCTATAGAGACTTTTAACTTTTATAAATATAAACAGTGACAGGATTTTCTATACTTCATGAAAATGGGTTTCATTTTCTTTCAGAGACTTAATTTGTTGTGGACAGTTTCAAGGGTTCATAATGTTTTCCACCAAATTATTTTTAAACTTTCTCTCGGTTTTCATAGCTTCTGGGCTTTTTTCTCTTTCTTTCTTAACATGAAAAATATAGGTATGTTATATAGTAATCTATTTGGAGAATTTAACTTCTTGCAAATAGTATTTTTCACTCTTGTAATAGACTTAAAAAAAACTGACTCCTTTTAGAGAGCAAGGTCTACACATGCTTCTAATCCTAGTCACTTGGTAGGTGGAAATAGGAAATGGGTGGTTTGAGGCTAGTTTGAGCTAAGTTACTGAGACCTCCATCCCAACAATTAGCCAGGCATAATGATGTAAGTTTGGAATCCCAACCATATGGGAATTTTAAGTAGGAGGAATGTAGTCTGAGGTCAGTTCCCAGAGAAGAACAAAAGACTCTACTTCACATACACCCCTCCACCGAAAAAGTAATAACTAAAGCAAAAAAAGGACTGTAGGCAGTGCTCAAGTTTTAGAACACCTGCCTAGTAAGCTTGAGGCACTGAGTTTAAATTCTAGCACTAATAAAAATAAAGTAAATAGTAATTTGAGTTGGATGCTAATGGTTTATGCCTCTAATCCTAGCTCCTCAGGAGGCTGAGGTCTCAGGATCATGTTTGAAGCCAACCTGAGCAGAAAAGTCTGTGAGACTCTTATTTCTAATTAATCACCAAAAAGTCTGAAGTAGAGCTGTGGCTCATGTGGCAGAGTGCTAGCCTTGAGCACAAAAGTTCAGGGACAGCACTCATGCACTGAGTTCAGGCCCCAGGGCTAATACCAAAATTTTTTTTTAATAGTAATTTGATTTGTAACTAGAAAAAACTATAAAGGTCTACCAGTTCATGTTAATTACGTATGTGCAAACAGAACTAAATCTAAACACCTGATGAGTTATAGTGCTTATATAGGAATAGCAACTTAATTTTTTCCATTGTTCCATTTTAAGCATAATGAACAATTTGTGTTTATGACCACCGTGGAAACTTTGTCAGCATACCACTAATCCAAAGACCCAAATAGTATATACAGGATTTAAGAAGAAAAAAAATACTGTACACAGGAAAAAATCATCTGTTTACTCCAGGGGAGTAAGCAATTATAGGTGGTTGATGGATGTTGATGAATGCAAAGATAGAATCTTTATGCAGAATATCAACTTATAAATAAATACCATAGTGACTATGTTAGCATTTGACATACCCATAACTGTGGTGTATTCTAGGATTGCTGACTCTTTTCTTTTTAACTGTTTAAAGTATTCAACTTTGTTTCTGCAGTTCGTATTTTAGACTTTGTTTTCAAAACCCCAAATTATACACTTAAATACACAGTAGCAGGATGCCTAAGACACTATCCAGCCTCCATTTGTAGGGAGTGTCTTACATTCTTTATGGTCTTCTGAGTGGGCTGTTAAGAATTTTCATTTTTTTTCCTTCAAACATAAGCAGAATAATTATTACATTTCAAATTACAGACTTCTACCTTTTAGCAATTCCTTAGTGCACCCTGGTGATATTAGGAAAGGGCCATTGTTTTAATGTGCATTTCCTATTCTTTATCGTATGACAGATTCAACAGAACTGTAATCCACTGAGACTTTTATGTGCTTATAGTAATTTTTTCCATTTTGAAAGAATGCTGCAAGGGAAGAAGGGAAAAACATTAAAGCACTTGGTTGAATATAATGATGAATAGTGATGGAATATAATGATCTTCTTGCTGTAGATATACTTGCTATTTATTGATGGATTTGGAGGAATTAGAGAGTTTCAAAGTTTAAAAAATGAAAAGTCCTCTAAGACATATTATCATGCATATTGAACTCTTTAGCAGATGATAGCTAAGAATATAATTTAGCATCCAGTTTTTTTAATGTCAGAGGTTTGAATACTACAGTGAAATAAATGTTGTCAGCCTTCTGCAGGTTCTTCATCATTAGATTCAACCAACATATTTGAAAACAAAATTCTAGCATGGAACTGTACATACATAGACTTTTTTCCTTTCATTTTTAAACAGCAAAGTATCACTTTTTTGTGTATATGCTGTCCTGAGGCTTGAACTCAGGACTTGGGTGCTGTCCCTGAGCATTTTCACTCAAGGCTAGTGCTCTACCATTTGAGTCACAACTCTGTTTATGCCTTTGGGGGGTGGGGGATGGCAGTTAATTAGAGATAAGAGTTTAATTAACTCTCTCCTGTCCTGGCTAGCTTCAAACCACAATCCTTAGATCTGAGTTTTCTGAGAAGCTATGATTTATGAGTGTGAACTGTCAGCGCCCTACTACAGTATGGTAACATTTATATTTAGGAGGATATGTATATTATATGTAGATCTGATGCCAGCCTGTATATAAGACTGAACATCTTCAGATTATTATTTATTATTATATATTATTACATTATATTATCCTCAGATAATTATGAACCAATCCCCAACATGAGGGATAATGCTAATTATAAAATCCCAGTAAGGAATTAGAGAATAAATATTGTTTTTCCCCATATCAACATTAAGGAATAATTAATAAGCATTTCTTTTAAGCAAATACTTTGGTGCATTTTGACATTTGCATCTATCTTCTGCAATCCCTATTATAGTCAAAATATAAGACATTTCTGTAAACCTGAAGATTCATTCCATTGTGGTTGCTACTCTGGCTTTAGACAACTAGTTTGCTCTTTCACTATAGATCAGTTGACACTTTATATAAATAGAGTTTTATAGTGTGTATTTATAGTGTTTGAAGATGAGATTCATAGAACCTTTTCTTGTTTTATTATTAGTGCTTTTGTTTTCTGTAGGCCCTTGAATGTCCCATGATTCCAAGTAAATACTATGTGTGTTTTGTTGGCTTACATTTTGTAGGAAGTTCTTCAGCAGTGTATTGATTTTGTTTTTGTGGTGCTTGGGATCAGCATCATGGCCTGGTACATGCATTCTACCACTGGGCTACCTACATCCAAGAGTGCTGGTTATTTGGGAGACTTGTGGTAGTAATTTAACACAGTGTTTTTCAGACTTGTACCTCCTTCAGTAAAAAAAAATGTGTTTATACTAATATAGTCATTTATAAGTTCTACACATTTATTTGTTATTTTTAATAAATTGTAATTATAATGATAAATAATAGCTTTTTCTCCACAGCTAATAGATTGCCTTATGTGTAACTGACTCTAGAAGCCAGGTTTGTATCTCTTCAGTAAAAAGTTACACCAGCAGATGGCGTAGTTTTTTCAGCTTTTCATCCCATGTAGTAATATAACTTGTATGAATTGCTGGGGGAAGATAACCATTTATATATAGCTTATAAAAGTAGCCAATAGTAAAGGGAAAAGACCATTTTATACTTTAAAATACTATTTCTCCATATTTTTCCATTATTGCCTTTATTGCAGATGCAAACACTCTTTTCTAATCTCATCTCCCTGGAGTGAGATTTTAGTACTACAGATATACTATATCTGTGTGCTGTCACACATATATAATGTATGTATATATGTGTGTATATACACATTTATATACACACATCATACTGTAACCATTTCATGGATTGTAATCTCTAGAGTTTATTTTTTATGAACCAAGATCCAAATCTTGCCCCTTTGGAATATAACACCCATATTGAGAATGCATGCTTTAGGGAAATTATGTTTTTCTCCTATTATTTGACCTTTCTAATCTCATTTTTCTTAATAAATTAATGTACATTCTGTTCATCTATACCTCCTGATGGGGAGTAGCTAATGGCAAAAAGCAGCTTTTTTAATATTAAGAAGTTTACCTAAGCCATGCACTGGTGGCTCACGCCTATAATCCTAACTACTCAGGAGGCTGAGATTGGAGGATCTCGGTGCAGAGTCAGCCTGGGAAGAAAAATCCATGAGGCTCTCATCTCCAATAAACTATTTAGAGAAGGCCAGAAGTGGCACTGCAGCTCCAAGTGGTAGACCACTAGCCTTGAACACAAAGAAACAAAATTATTCACAGATAATTTACAGGACTCTTATCATGAAGTCTTGTTTCTGCTTTTTCTGTAGGATGCTATTCTGAAATACAATGTGGCATATTCCAAAAAATGGGACTTTACAGCTTTGGTTGACTTCTGGGATAAGGTAATAGTATGCATATTTCTTTAACTATGAAATAAAACCTTGTAAGTTTAAGAAAAATATCTGTAATTTTTCTACATGTAACATAATCATATTTTATTTCCATGGATGTTCTGGTTTTTATGTTTGTTTTCCTTCTTTCCTGGGCTCCCCAAAAAGGCTTAGAATCAGATCTTTGTGATTGTAGCACTCTATAGTTTGAGCAACATCCTAATCTTTTTTGTTTTTGTAGTTTGTTTTTCAATGGCGCCTTCTATCTTTATCTTTCACTAAGCATCACCTCTGTCCAACAACTTGCTAGGGATTGAACTCTGTGACTTGTGCTTGCTTCAAAAGCATCCTACCACTTGAGCCATGCCCTCAGCCCAGATTTCATTTTCTCATAATACCCATTTTCTGTTTTATTGTATAACATTATTAGCATTATCCACAATATTCTGTGATAAAATTATTTCTGCTCCTATTCAAACTAGGTTACATCCTGTTTTAACTTAATTACACTATAATAACTTGTTATATATGGGTATGTATTTTATACGTCCACATAGATACATAGTTAGATATATTCCCATATTTATTTTTTGAATGGAAACAGATTTTAATTCTAAAATAAGGATGGTTTATAACTGTAATAACATTCTTAAAATTAACAATGCTTCTATACTATATTTAATACTTCGGTGTCTAGTCAGTTGCCTTTATGATACTATAAATATATTTTATGGTAGTTTTTTTTTCCAAAATAGGATTTAATCACAGAAATTGTCTGGATGACTATAGCAGTTTGAATTTTTCTAATCATTTCCCTTTTGTTACACTAAACTAATGTTACTCCTGTTTCTCTTCACTATGAAGGTTAGATCTATAAGGCTTAGTTAAATTGTTTCAAGATTTTTGGTAAAAACCTTGGGGTGTTGTGTGGTTCATATTGCCCTATGTCAAGAGGAACATGACATCTGATGCACTGTTAAGGGCACTAGATTTAATCATTTGGAAAAATACAGTCAATTCTGCTTTCATGCCACATCTTTAAAATCATTGTGCTATGCAAAATTACACAATATAAGTCACAAAACTTACAGTAAAATGGGGTAGAAGGTCAACATTCAGGAGTTTTGTTAATGATAACTTAAAAATGCATATTAAAGCATCATAGTTTTACATATGGGAAATGGCACTTAAACTTGGAAAAGAGCTGTGGCTTGCCTGTGGAAGTGGGCATTGGGAGGGTGTCAGCCTGTGGGCTCTTAGGAGGTAATGGTAGAAGGATCTCATGAATTGAATGTAAGTCCAGTACCAGATACAGATGGCTGTAGCCCATCACACAATTGGTACTTTGTAATAGCCTAGAAATGTTCATTGTGTACGTGTGTGCATTTGATTGGCCCATCGGGGTACATTTTTCTGTACTTGGTGTTTTTTCTATACACAATTGTATATAATCATAATGTAATTGCATTATGCTCAAGGCATTCCCTGGTTTATCATTTATATTGGAAAGCATTTTTCAAAACAAATATTATATCAAGATTGATTGATAGGGTAATTTGTGCCTTCTCTCTCTTGTTTCTTTCGTTCTTCTTTATCTTCAAATGCTTGTACAAGTGGGTTACATCTTAACCTCCTGATGTATGTGTCTAGTACATCTTGATCATTCTTACTTCTTCTTCCTGGAGTTCTCTATCATGTTTCCTATTTCCTTCCCCCTGGAGTCCAGTCACTTTTCCTACTTCCTTTTGTACATATGTACATTGAATATTATGACTGTATTTGTCCCTGATTCCCTTTTCCATTCATCCATTCTCCCGCTCCCCGCTTTTTCTCCCAGTTAGCATAAGCCCTTTGAAATCCACAAAATATATTGATTATTTTTCCTTTTTTTAATTGAATAGTATGCTGTTCTTTTTTTTTTTTTTGTCGGTCGTGGGGCTTGAACTCTGGGCCTGGGCGCTGTCCCTGAGCCCTTTTACTCAAGGCTGGTGCTCTACCACTTGAGCCACAGGTCCAGTTCCCACATAGCCTTAGTAGTTCCAAAATCCAAGTTGTTCAAAATCCAAGTCCAGCATCTCGGAACTCAGGACAAACTGAGCTGAGACTCCCTATAAAACTTAAAAGAACAAGTTATAGACAGGTACCAGTAGTTGATGCCTATCTATAATTCTAGCTACTCAGGAGGCTGAGATCTAGCTGATTGCAGTTAGTGGCCATCCTGGGCAAAAAAAGTCTATGAGACTCCATCTCTGAAATAATTCTGTTGCCACAACCTGAAGGAAACCTTTCCAACTCACCAGATAAAATAAATTTCTAGAACAAGTTCTCATAATACCATGAACTCCTCACTCATCGAATGTTATAGTTTTTATATGTTTTATGTGATGATTCTCTGCAGTGTAGTGGTGACATGTTGTGAAAGGGATAAACCTTACAAACATCTTCATTGAAGAGCCAAATACAATGCCTACATATTGTGTGATTCCATTTTTATTAAATGTCCGGAATGATCAAAGTCAAAAGCTTTTATAATTTAAAATGCCTTTCCTCAGAGATCTACTTAACGGAGGTTGGGACAAATAGGGAGAAAATGATGGAATGTGTGATCAAGATGCTTTGAATTCAAACCTCTTTATACAACTACTTAATGTTTTACTTAATACTACTATAATAGCTGAGTTTATATACAAACACATTTATGTGTACTTATGCATATATATGCATGTACATATGTATGTAAAAGGTTCTGTCTTAAATATTCCAAATACAAAATTTAATTGGTACTTATCTTCAAAAACTTTAGACCTAATGAGGAAAGGAGAAATAAGTGTATGTTAGTATGATAATGATAACACAATGAAATGAAACTGCTTGGAAGAGATAAGAAGACATAGCATATAGCGAGGCATTTAGGAATGAAAGTGAATTTATTGTTGTTAAGGATGTAAGACTTCCAGCATGTCTAGTGTGTAGGTAATGTTTTAAGAGGGTTAGTATAGTTACCTTGATTCTGTGTCCAGTGAAAGATTTCAGGTATAACTGGAACTGTAGTAAAAGGAATAGTTTATTAGAAAAGAAACATACTTTCAGAAGTAAAAGTGAGTTATCTCAGAAGTAGAAATCTAGAGGGACCCCTAGTTCCACCCCTAGCTCCGGCACTTAGTGAGTGTATCAAGTCCCTCCCCAAGCCCAGTCCAAAGGGAGTTACTGACATGAAAGTTGTACAAGATTTAGAAGTTTCAAGAATCACTTTGAGCCGGGCGCTGGTGGCTCACGCCTGTAATCCTAG